GTATGAATTTTGTTGTGACCAAGTCGCTATTAAACATACAAATCTGTTTGTACAGAACACGATATGAGGTTTTAATTAAAAAGTAATTCTCCAGTATACTGTGTCACTGAGTAACTGTCTTACTGAACCCCTTTATTATTTTTGTTCCACTAACAAAAATGTGTTTTACATAGAGTGGGGCAACAAAAAAGTATTTATTCATCCACTGATTGAGCACGTTTTCCTACTTGGAAAGATGACAGGTCTGTAGTTCTGCACACTTCAGCTATGAGAAGCTAAATGAGAAAAACAAATCCAGGAAACCACATCTGGCACGGGACCCCAGATTGGGGGAGATTATCAGTGCTCCTGTATGTCTTCCATATTCTTTAGTCCTACAGTGAGGATCTGTGAGGTTTTTTCTGACTCGCACACAAGAACGCGTTTCACTCCGGAAGACATTTTTCGTTGCACGCAGGTCTCCAGTCAGTTAGGAACATAGTGGGATGTTTTTGTTTTTTCTTAGCTAGCATAGTTAGCTTCGTGAGTAACTAAAGAGGCAGAAACATCTTTGGTATGTATGATAAAGTCATATTTAACTTGCTTTGCCTGTGAACCAATGTTTGTTCCTGCTAACCGACGCTAAAGCCGACTTTAAGGGATGTCTCAAACCGAATGATACACCCTGTGCAGCGTGTTAATGCTAAAAATGAGAAAACCATTTATCTTTTAAAAACCACAACAACTTTTTTGCAGCCAAAATGTGCATTTCTGTCTCAGTTTAGGTTCGGGTCGTGTGAAATGTAATTCTGCCTGCTGAGCAGAAGGCAGTGACAACATTCATTCGAGACTCATCGTTTTTGCTCATCATATAGCCTATTAAGAAAAAACCCAGGTTGGTTTGTAACGTCATTTTCATTCAAATTACTCCAGATTCCACATTATCAAACTTGATGTCAGTGACTGAAAGTATAGTATCATGCATGACGTTAAGACGTTTTTATTAAATTAGACGTTTGTTTGTTTTTTGCTACATTACTTTCATTCCGGACC